CCCAGCCTGTAGGGATGCTGCTGGTTCTTCCTACCCAGGTGCATCACCTTGCACTTGTCAGTGTTGAATCCCACGCTATTCTCATCCACCCACCCCTGTAGCCTGTCCAGGTCTGATTGTAGCTTATTCCTCCCTTCTAGCGTGCCCCCATCCCCCCACATCTTAGTGTCATCAGCAAATTTGAAGAGGGTGTTTTTTACCTCCTCCTCCAAGTCACTGATGAAGATATTGACCAGTGCGGGCCCAAGGACCGAGCCCTGTGAAACCCCACTGCCCACATCCCTCCAGACTGAAAATGACCCATCCACCACCACTTTCTGGGTGCGGCCCTCCAGCCAGCTGGCGACCCATTTGACCGTGTAGGTGTCGACACCAGAGTCCCCCAGTTTCTTAATGAGAACAGGGTGAGAGACAGTGTCAAAGGCCTTCCAAAAGTCCAGAAAGACTATGTCCATTGCTACCCCTGCATCTAAGGATTTTGTGACCTGGTTGTAGAAGGCCACCAGGTTGGTCTGACAGGACCTGCCTCTAATGAACCCGTGTTGGTTGCCCCTAAGCATAATCTCCCCTGTTGGCCCCTCACGGACATGCGCCAGGATAACTCTCTCAAAAAGCTTACCCAGGATCGAGGTGAGAAATAGTGAAAGTTTAAAAAAAAAAAAGTTTTAACTCAATTTCCTAAAAATATGATTTTTACAACCAAGTGCCAAAAGCCAAATTTACTGTCACTGATATTAAAATTTATGGATTTTTCTTTGTATTCAAAACTTATAGTACCATCAGTAAATACCTAAATTCACTACTCCTTATAGGATTGAAACATCAAGAGACCAAAAAATATTGGGCAAGTCAATTTATCAGTCAACTTTTATATAGATATTTTTTTAAAATGACAACATGCAGAAGCAGCTCCTAAACCAGATCTGATGATGTAAACAGTATAAGGTATATTTACATAGATATGCAGAAGAGTTTGTAGCATAAGATTATGAAGAGGGCTGTAGGTCTTCCATAACAATACGTTACATAAAGTATTTCCCCCGTTTATAGGCTTTAACAAATCTCTTTTACACAATTATATATCTCACTTTTATGTTTTACTCCTGCTCCCTGGTAGATTACTGCTACAAGGAAGTTTAAAGGAAGGGAGTGGTGGGTACAAGGAACAGCTGGAATGTGTCTGGTTTCTATAACACAATAAAAACCAAGTGTTTTCTGAAGCTCAACAAGGTCACAGACAAAATATAGTACACCCAAATGCTCATTAAAAACTTTAACTCTGTGGATAAATAAAAGTGCCTGATAGATAAAAGACATTTAGCAAAAGAAGTTTAATGAAGAAAAAAAGCCAATATATGCCTGTTCACTCTTGTGCTATATAAAGAAAATAGTAGTGACCCAATAAAGCTGATTAAGGGTTCAAGTCCCAGTTCAAGGACAGAGCAAAACAAAGTATTAGCAACTCCCTGACTGACTATAGGTGGTAGTCACAAGTAGATGACTTCATAGCGGGGAAAAATGGAAAGAAAAATCTAAATATCAGTATTGTCTATAGACTACTAAACAATGTTACATATACCAAGTGCAGAAGACCTGCATTTAGACGCATACAACAGCTTAACATGCACTTTCAAAAGTACTACCCCAACATTGCATAAGATTTGAGAATAATACCAGAAGTTACAAAGGCAGGCATTACACAAAAGGAAATATGCCACACTGCAAACTCAGCTAAAAGATTATATATACACACTTTACAGAACAGTATGAAGCATCAAGAGTTATCCAAATTTCTGAGAAAAGCATTAACATTTTATGTTACAAATCACACTTTTGATACCCAAAACCAACTCATCTTGCTGTTCCCCCTACCACACTTCTGTATAAACACCTCTGTATTCTTAACATCTTTGCTCTATGAAGACAAATCATTTTCATAGTTTGTGGCAAGTTAGAGATTATTTTTAAATTTTCACTTCTATTACTACTTACTTTGATGTGTGTATGTTGCAAAACTCGTTCATGTTTATGCATTAATTAGATAACTTCAGCTTTACTCAAGGGCCCATTGCCAAGAACAGAGAGAGAGAGAAAGAGAGAACTGATGCTTTCACTTAATGGAGGCTTAAATATATCCCTTATGCAGACATTAAGAACCTAGCCAAGACTCTGGCACTAAAACCATAAGGAAGTTCTCCAGGAACAAGCCCACCCAGATTTTACAGGTTTATAGGACTGCTCAATATTAGATACAGTCCAAGCAAAATAACAAATACAGTTTGCTTTTCATTTGTGTGGTTTTCATTCTGAAAATGTTTAGGAGATTGATTGGTTCTTCATACACAATTTGGGCATATGTTGATTTGTAATCAAGCAAAATATCTTTGCTACTGTTGCACAACTTAGTATAGAGGTTCTCAGAGAGGGTGCCATAAGGTTCTTTTAAGAGTGCCACTGGGTGGTATGAAATATTAGCACTGTTAGGTGTGCAGACACCTACATGTGATCCGCAAAATAAACCCAGAGGCTTCCGATAGGAATCCACAGTGTCAAAAGCATTGTAACTTGCTGTAGTCTTTCCAAATGCTTTGCAACATAAGAGCTGCTCTGTTATTTTTCAGAAATTAACAAATGAGTGAAAACTAGGAGCTGGCATTTTCCCAGGGTGCCAGAGTCTAATGGGGGTTGAGAACCACCAACTCAGTATGATCAGACAACATAATAACTAGTCCATACTCTTCTTGTTAGCTAGCACCATCTCCATGCTTATTTGTGCCTAATGTTGAACAAAACTGTAGTTATTATTTCCATGTTTGAAAAGAATCTGCAAAGAAAGATTGCTATGCAAATACAGGAAATACACCCCAGCTAGACATCTTGGCTGTATTGGCAGAAACCATGAAAATATACAATAGACATGCAGACTTTAAAACATGTTCCATAAAGAAGCATTTGGTGACCACATGTTAAACAACCACTTCATTGGATTCAGTCATTATACAATGTGCCCAAGTCAGAGGGTTATTTTAGTAACTCAGTCTCTTCTACAGAAGAAATTCTCTCTTCAGGATGACTCTTCCTGCCAGTAACTCTCAAGCAAAATACATAGGATTTTTATTAGAAATTTATTTCCAAAAAAGCCTCTGCCATAATTTCTTTGACAGCACTTAAATATACTAGTGGTTTTCTAAATCGCAGAGGAAAGTTTGAACTCTGAAAAGTGCAGAATATGCAACAGCTCAACAGCCAATAAAGTAGCCAACAAACACTCAACATCCCACAGCACTTCATTAAAGTCTATTTTATTCTGTTTCCATTAACTGGACAGGGCAAGTTATGAATGGTAATGGGATCTTTAACTTCCAACCAAACGCTACGTTTCTTTTGGGTTATCTGACAAATACAAAGAAGCTTCATCTTCAGACCAGAATCTCTAGCAGTAAACCATCTGTCTTTCATTATTAAATAGTGCCAACAAAAGAAATTCTCTCTTGCTACACTGCAGCACTCCTGTAAAAGTTAAGAAAAATAATAATTCGACAACTGATATCTTGGCTAGGATTACAAGTCTGATGTCCTTGATGACAGTTATCAAAAACACTTTATAAAAATTACCATGTTGTGAAATTTATGACCTCTAGATCCATTGGTTAAGTTAGGAAGGCCACAAAAGATTGCTTGACACTTTGCAACATTAGATGTCTAACACATTTTTCATTTAAGTGGGTCTCTCAGAGTTGCTACATTTGAGACACCTACAGGCCAGATAACTTCACTCCAACAACTTCTTGTAACAAACTCAAAATCCCAGCAAGACCTGTATGGTTTACTGGAAGCTAAAGAGTTACTATTCTAAAATTAAACACTATTGGCCCAAGGATCCTCCAACTAGACCCTTACAAGACTTGGTTGGTTAGACTGCAAGTTATTTTAGGAAATAATTTAAAACGGCTGAAATTTACCTGGAGATTTGAGCTTGCTTAAAACATGAAACTTAAAAATCAAAACCATACAAGCAAGATGGCTCTCTCTAAACATAATATGTCTGCTACTCATTCTCTTTAGACTCTCTGAGGGGCATATCCTCTAAGAAGGTAAGTATATCTCTGCCAGCCTCCCCTCAAACACACTAAAATTCACTAGGAATGGTTTTCAGGTAGAATGGAGAGAGAGAGAGAGATACATAGTCTGCTCTCATGTTTTGAGGCATTGCTTCCCATTCAAAAGGCAAGAAGAATGGTTTGTGGTTAACACACAGAAGTGGGCGTCAGGAACAGTCCTATTTCAAGCTCTGTCATACATTTTCTACAGTACCATGGTTAGTAATAGCTGCCCCACAAACCAAGAATATTTTGAAGATTTTGTATGCCACTTCAACAACAGATGTTAGATTCTGACTAGACATCATCTTACCCCACTGAAGTGACAAATGAAGGAAAAAAATAAAATAAATCACACTTGACATTGGTGGTTTTAAACTTTTTTCATTTGCAGACCCCTAAATATTTTGAATGGAAGTGCAAACCCCTTTGGAAATGTTGAATGCAAGTACAGACTCCTTTGAATTGTAAACATGGGTATTCACATACTTTTGTCTGATCATTGTCATCTTTTGCGGACCCCTTAGACAGCCTGCAGACCCCCAGGCAGGGGTCTGCAGACCAGAGGTTGAAAAACCACTGCTCTCTGTATAATCTTGACTGGCAATTTCTGTTACTGTCAGGGCCATGGGATTCCAGAAGTCTCAGCTATGAAATGTCTGTAAAGGACTTTTATTCAGGCTTGGTTTAGAAACTGGCCAGCAGAAGCATGTTTGAAAATGGTTTCCATTTTTGCTCATAAGCACCTATACTCTTCTGCAAAGTAAGTAATACAGCACTAAGCCTTCAACTCTGGAAATTAAAAATTCTGTGACAAGCAAAGAAACACTTCAGAGCAGAGGCATCAAACTGAATTCTGTTGGAGGGCCAAATTCCCACCTTTTCAGATGCCCACGAGGCACAGGCCAGGGGCAGGCAATTATTTTGGGTGGAGGGTGCCTTACTGAGTTTTGGTAAGCCATTGAGGGCTGCATGACAGGTAGCCAGGGGAATATTTTAGGGGCTCCACTGGCCGGAGAAAATGGCCTGGCAGGCTGCATCTGGCCCGCGGGCCATATTTTGCCCGCCCCTGCCATAGGCGGAAGCTCAGCCACAAGTGCTAAGGCTTCTCGTGACAGCAGCCAGCTCTGTGACCCTACAGGGACACTGTATGTGTGCACATGTGAAAGGATACAGCATTTGTGTGCAAGAAAAAGACTCTGCAGGGGCACAGGCTGATTCAACTCCTCCAGGGACCAGGAGAAGTTGGCTTGAGGAAAAGCTCCCTAGCCTTCTCCAGATTGGAGTCACCACTCTGGAGAAAGCATAAGGGGCAGCTGATCCTGCCTATCCCATAGATCAAGAGGGGAGGGGGAAGGAAAGAACAGGTGCTACCTGCTCCCTGCCTCTTTCCCAGTGTGAGCAGCTTTACTGCACTGCTCCCCCATCTTGGCATGGGGTACTGAGTGCCGGGAACCCCTCCCAGTTTCATTTGCCACCTCTGCCACATAGCTGAACAGCTGGGGGACAAGGAGAAGCCAACCAGTGGGGTGCCAGGTTTAGGGAGGCTTTTCCTGGGGTAGCAGAGCCAAGTGGCTGCTCCTCACACAGGAGTTCCAGGTGTGCTGAGCAGGCAGCAGCTCTGGCCCACTACTCCATCTTCTCAGCTCCCCAGCACCTAGAGCCTAGTGCAGGGTACATTCCTGTGACCCCCCTGCCAGCTTCTCACAGTGGAGTACCAGGACTGAGAGGCTGGCAGGGTGTTGCCTACTTCTCCCTCTGCTCTACTCCCTGAAACCAGCAGCAGAGAGAAGCAGCAGCTGCTCCATGCAAGGCACTTTGACTTGCTGCTTCTCTCCCCTCCCACTCAGATCCAGGAGGGGAAGGGTGAGAAGAGACACAAGCTCCTCTTAGGTAATCACACAATTTCCAAGCTGGGAATTGCCAGGCTTGGGGAAGGGGCTGAGGGCTTTGCCCCAGTGCTTCCTCCACTTAGCTCTAGGAAAACACAAACAGAGCAGAAGAGCCTGATCCCCAGGTTCCATAGTCCAGTCTAGGCAGGTACAAGGAGTCTTTCCCCATATGCTACACTCCCTGCAGGATCAGGAGGAATGAGCAGGCTGCTCTCCTGGTCTTCCCCAGACCAGAATCACCCTGATCTTGGAAAGCACAGAACTAGGGCTCTGGCCACAGTAGCAGGGCTGCTTTGCACTACTTTTTCATGGGTGATGGCTGCTGGTAGGGGAAAACACTCCCACCACAGCACAGCCAGAGCTAGGGCAGAAGTCCGTGGGCTAGACAACCCAGGTCAGCATGTCAGATCCAGCCCATGGGCTATGTCTGAAATCTCTCCTTTAGAGTCTGGAACTCACTGGAAATAGCACTTGCTAAAATGTCATTTACAAAACAAGGTTGGCATTCTCAGCAAATGTACTGTTTATAATGTTTTTTTTAAGTGTCTGCTCAGATTTACTTTCAAACAAGCCTGTGCGGGGCAGGGGGAGGATAGGGAGGAAGCATACCAGTTACAACAAAACTGACTTCAGGAAAGGTTTCCCTTCACAATGGAGTCCCTGATCAAACTCCACTCAATAGGCAGTGGGAAGAGACCTCTAGGTCTCACACATCCCCAAGCTAAGTACTGAAGATGGCTGAACTGTCTCCACACTTTAACCACTGTGTTAGTGAGTATATGAGCAGTAACTCATTCTCATGAAACGCTGCATCAGGTCTTAGATATACCTAAAAGCAGAAAATAAATGTTTGTAATCTCAACATGGTTTCATAGTTTCCCTTCCCCTTAGTGCAACTACCACTGGCAAATTTAGGATGAAGCAAGGAATGAGGCTAACATCTAAAAAAGATGAAACCAAAAATAGAAGTACTTAGATCTCAACCAACATAGACCTTCTCACAAAAGGCAACTAGCTGTAGTTTACAAACAGTTTCTCCCCCGCCCCCTTTATTATACATTTATTTGAAAGTATACAAGTTAATGTTTCGATACTTTCATCTTTCTCCAGTGTTAGCCGACGTTGGCAAGATTTTTCAGAACTGCCTAAGTTTAGACCCTTATGTCCATATTTAGAAGAAACCTGATATGCAGAAGTACTGACCACTCAGTAGGATCCAATGGCAACTGACATCCATATGGCAATTTTAAATACGTTTGTAATGCCCTTTTTTACTAAATTTTGCAGACTTGGCCATTTTTTTCCTGTAAAAAACTTCAACCTAACCAAATGCAGACATTAGTGTCTTCATTTTCTCTGATATGGAAACTAAACAGGGCTAACATTTAAGAGAAAAAGAGACTGATATTACCAAAATTAAATACCAAGTGACTGTTACTTTTTTGAAACTAGTGGTTATTAAAGCCAGGAAACCAAAAGAAAGATGCACTACTATTAAAATTCAAATATTTGTTTTAAAAGCAATATGTTTATATATTTTGGCCTCAGGTGAGAGTGTTTATTTTAAGCCAGGATATAATTTGGGTATTGGAACTTTATTTTGTTTAAAATAAAAATCGTTATCTTTGTGCATAAGATTTTTAAATTTGAAGAACTTGGCAAGACATTTGTAATTCACAGTCAAAATACTGGCACATTACATCAGACAAATTAGGAGGTATATAAAGAAAGTTTAAAGGTCTGTTTTTCTACTATACAGAAAGCAATGAATACTTTACGTTTACATAGTTTTAGTACTACTTCTCCCTATGTGTTACTGGCAGGAGAAGAGAAGACCTTTTGTTTGAGTTGTACAGCCAGCCAATGGTAAATGGAAGAAAAAACAAGACATTTTAAAAATAGGTTTGCAAATGTGTTTTCAAGAAAATGATGTAATGCTATCTAGTGAAAACTTCACTAAATTGAAAATAACTTAAAGGGGAAACGAAGTCTTTTAAGCCCTGAAATGAATATAATATGTGCAAACTGGATGAAAACAACAGTTCCTCTTCACGTACTTACTGGGTTCTTAGTCCACAGCCCTGAGTACTCCTTGCACAGGAGCATGGTTTGCAAAAGAAACAGAGAACCCTGAACTCAAGTCTTAACAATTTAGTAAAGGGAAAAATTAAATATGTTTTCTTGACAATTTATGATTTGAAAAGCAAAAACGTTAAAGAGCATGTGTGGCAATTTACCAGGTTTAATGTGTGATGTACATAATCTTAAAATATTTGACATCTTTAAATTATTACATATAGAGGAGAAATTAATCTTTAATAGCATGCAACTATTGAAAATGGAGTCAAAGCCTTAAATCTCTCATGTTTTTAAGTATTAGTTTTTAAATGTATTTCATGCGACTTGACTATTTCACACATTAGCAAGTTAGTCAATATGAAAACTTGAAAGCTTCACGCTTCATTCCAAAGCTTGTCGAACACAAAAATCCTTGCCTCTAGGACAATTCCTGGACTATCAGCACTACAGCATCACTCTAACACTAATATTCATGGTAATCATAGAAAATTAGGGTTGGAAGGGACCTCAGGAGGTCATCTAGTTCAACAACTAATCAAACATTACTTGTGTGCAAGACATGCATAATGTGCACCTTCCATGACACCTGCTAAACAAACCCTCCTCATCCATGTATTGCCAATCTCAGTCTGTGCAGTAACACATAGGCAGGCCATGAGGCATCAGTCTGCATAGAAGCTAGGCAAACAGAGCAGGTTGTTATTTATAGATTAACTAAAATTTAAGAAAAGAAGCAACAGGCAGAGCTTGAAATTATAGTTCTCAGCTTCTTGGAGTCTTTCAGAGGAGAAAAAAGAAAACACCTTGGATCCGAGCTGGACCAAGGAAATAGTCTGTGGAATGGTAAGAGAGTATAAGCAGTGATTGGAAAATTAACCCTCTGGAGCCTTTAATTTGGAGGGAGACACTTAAAGCAGTTGTGCAGCTTTGAATGACCCCTGTTACACAATAATTTTGGGCAGCTCTTGGAGCTTTTAACCCCTGGACTGGCCACACATTAACACAGCTTTTAAAGTGGTTTTAAAGCACTCATTATGCAGTTTGAAGTTACATCACTCCAGGGCAGGATTATCCCTGCTCTGCGCTACTCAGCTCCTGTTCCATTTAGGTGCAGCCACTCCTCATAGCTGTGCCTCCCAAGTTGAAGTCCTCCAGGATCTCTCAGACCCCTGCCCAGAGACAGAAGCCTGTCCTGGCTCACCAGCCCCACGGTGGCAACTCACACACCTTCCTCCGCCTTGCCCCTGCTCACCAGGCCTGTGGCAGCAAGTCAGAGCTGTGCAGGTGTGGGGGCAGTCTGGGAAGGTTTCTAGACTAAGGGTGTGACTGCTCCAAACTAGCTCCACCCAGGGTTTAAAATCACATTTTGACACGGGGGGGTGGTGTCTGTAAAAAAATAAATAAATAAATAAAAATTGGGCTGCCCATCACAACGCCCTACGAAAATTGGAGACCTTCCCTTCCCCGGGGTCATGATTTTGAAATCTTATGAGGGGACTCTTGTCTCTTGTGGGGCAGCTCAGAGCCCCCTCCCAAGTGCCCCCCTAATCTGAACCCTACTACCAACAATCAACGC